TGGGAGACTAAGCTAATAGAGAAAAAGAGGATATACCTTATATATATATAAGATATATCCATGGACCAAGACAAATATGAGAAGAATACTGTTCGAAATAGAACAAGGAGCTGTAAAAGACACTGAACACCTAGAGACATGAATTGGATAGGATAGTTGAAACAATCACATCTTTGAAAAAATGATAAAACTTAAAATTGCAAGAGCAATAAAAGATACCTTGAGTAGATTAAGAAGAAATAAAGAGACTAGGAATCAGAGAAGAGGACTACGAGACAGAGAGAAGAGCCGAAAAAGGTTGATGGAAAAGAACGTTCTTGTGGTGGAGAGAAGGAAGGAGGTGGGGTCAAAAAGTTTTTTGGCGTTCAACGTAATTTTTATTGGGCTATGAATTTTCAGGCGGAAATATATTTTTCTGGAGTTTCAATTGGGGAGAATTTTCGTTCCAGGGAATAAGGGAAAATATGGAACAGACCACGATTAGTGTATATTAAGTAAGTTTACTGCAAATAAAATAGAATTTTCATAATTATGTATTTTAAACTAACAAGGAGAAAATGCATTCTTAAACTCGGATACTATATCGAAACATATTAGACTCGTGTCCCGGCATTATTTCCTATGAGCCGAGAAAAAAAATATATGTTAGATAATTTCAAACAAAATTTATTTTTCTTTGATTCCTTTGATTTTTCTTGTTTTTTACAACAACAAAAAAATAATAAGAAAAAGTGATTGATATACAGTAGCCTAAAAATCCGACAAAAGAAAAATATTTTGTTTTGAAATTATATAATTTTTTTTTCTAGGGCCCGGTCCGTTGGATAGAACGCCGGGCCACGAGTCTAATATCTTTCGATGTAGTATCAACAAAAAAAAACATTTGTTTGAAATCCGTGACTCGCAGACTGTATCCTGTCCTTGTTAGTGTAAAATAGATAATTATTAAAATTCTATTTTATTTACAGTAAACTTACTTAAATTTACGTTTATCGTGGTGTGTTCCATCTTTATCCTCTTTCCCTGGTACGAAAATTCTTCCAAATTTCAACTCTACAAAAATTTGTTTCCGTTGATTAAAAAGACCTTTTAAGAAAATAAGAGCAATCATATTTCTTGGAGTTCCTGCGCCATTGCTAGTGCTGAGGAGAGATGGACACCTCTGCTGTAATATAACCGATAATCCCAGGTGGGGTCGTGATGTTGAACCACCCAGGTAGATTAAATTCACCCGCTCACTTAGAAAACAGAATATAAATAAATAGACAAAATGGAATCAAAATTTAATACAGGAACCTCCGAGATGCTTTTAGCATTTTAAATTCTAGACTATAAATCTGAGACGTGAGAGAAACTGGTAGCGGCCAAAGTATTCCTGGAGCCCGCGGTTCTGCTTGAAGCCTACATTTCCGAAAATTTCAGTCGAATCCTAAATGTCACAGGAGCGGTATCAAGGAAGCGGAGCTCTTATCTCCGAAGAGGGAAGTTTACGATAGGCCCCAACGGTGGCATAATGTAACAATAAATCCGCGGGGACATTAGCAAATGTTCTATCTCTTCATTATTGTTGAAAGATAGGGGCCTTGTGGGAGGCCACTTACCAGCCTTCCTCAGGGCCCAGATAAAAAAAACGCTCGTAAGTTTGGTCCAGTTTGAAATATAGCAAGAGAATACAATATGGAGTTTATCGAAGGAATCTACACAACACGCCCGGGTTCTCCCAACCTTTTTTCCGCTCTCCGAATTTATTGGAGCTCAATGACCCAGTTCGCCCTCTTTGCCCTTCTACGGAGGGGATCCTCGAGGAAGGAGAGTCGGAAAGTCGTAGGCGGCCATTCCGGGGATCGGATGTGCCTCTTTAAATATTTATAAGTAACTAGGTTTACGTATATGCTCATATTTTCCATGAAAATAATGGCGACTCAGTTTATACTATAAAAGTTTTGAAAATATCATTCATAAGTAGTGTTGCCCAAATGCGAGACCGAGACGAGTCTTGGTCTTGCAAAATCAGTCTTGGTGATGGTCTTGGTCTTGCGCAAGACTCTCACAACAGTCTTGCAGTTACTCATTACCTTATTACTATAGAGATATTACTGTATTTTTTTAAGATAGGAAAGACCTAACTAAGCCCAAATAAAAATTAGGTGAGTTAAATGCAAACGTATATCGGTTACACCAATTATTAACATATAGTAACTAAGATTGTCAAGTATTAGTAACTATTTTGCCTTAATTTTTATTTGAAAAATCGGTTTTTTTTTTACCAGTTCTGGTCTTGATCTTGCGACAGTTAGGTGGTCTCTGGCAAAGTCTAAGACCTATTTTGGGCAACACTACTGATATGTATTCACCTAAGTTATATTCCTATTTATTTATTATTTTATTTTCCATTAAATTTGCCGCTACGTTGTAACGCATCAAGCAAATACGTTGGAGTTTATTCTATCTTCTTGTATTCTTGATACTTGCTTAAATTGTCAGCAGAAGATATTTAGGCCACTACCTCTTTAGGCGTCGTTGAGGCTCACTAGGCAACAGGGAGGAAGATAGAGATAGAATGCAAAAGTATATTGGTTATACCAATTATTAACAAATAGTAACTAAGATTGTCAAGTATTAGTAACTATTTCGCCTTAATTTATATTTCAAAAATCGATTTTTTTTACTATTTCTGGTCTTGGTCTTGCAACAATTAAGCGGCCTTGGTCTAGGTCTTGCAAAGTGCAGGACCAAGACCGATTTTGGGCAACACTATTCATAAGGTATGAAGAAAAAAATATGGAGTATAAATAACAATTGTAGATGCAGTTGGAATAGTAAAGGCGATGAGTAAAGGGGATAACAGCAAAGAGAAAAATAAAAAATAGTAATGAGAAAAACTATTCTTTGTTATTTGACAATGATGACTTCCAATTAACAACAATTGAATTTATTTGTCGTATTTTTTAAATTGCATGTTTACAAGTTAACGTTTCGGGATATTTACTCCCATCTTCAGAACTACAATCCTAATGATTTTGTGGATACATGGCTTGAATCTAATGTGCTCCATCGTCAGGTTCTAATTCAAGTTATAATAAATTAAGGTATATAACATCCAGAGCAACATCTTGCTTTTGGACAAATAATTGGGTGTCTGACAATACAAGGCTAAGGCCCTACTAATTATGGTAAAAACCCAATAATTAGTCTAAAAGCAAGATGCTGCTCTGGATGTTATATGTCTTACTTTATTAGAACTTGAATTAGAACCTGACGATGGAGCAAATTAGATTTTAGCCATGTATCCACAAAATCATTGGGATTGTAGTTCTGAAGATGGGAGTAAATATCCCGAAACGTTAATTTGTAAACATGCAATTTGAAAATACAACAAATAAATTCAATTATTATTAATTGGCAGTTATCATTGGCAAATAAAAAATAATAACATACAACTTCCCAGAAAAAGAAGAGAAAAAATATATTGAATACTTAATAGTTGACCGTTTTATATTTTAGAGGAAGGAGATGGTCCGAGTGGCGGTCATAATTAGACTAGAATAGTGCGAAACTATTTTATTTCAAGCCAACGTTTCGACTCGACTTTGCAGTTCCTCTTTTAGGAGGTGTGTACAATGCGTTTCACTTAGAATTCAAGAGTAATGAGTTCTAATTGAAACGTTGAATTTATTTCTAAGTGAAACTCCTTGCTGAACGCACCTCAATGGAAAAGATCTACAAAGTCGGGTCGAAGCGTTGGTTTGAAATAAAATAGTTTTCCACTATTTTAGTCTATTTATGACCACCACTCCGAAAAGTTATATTGTTTTAAGCATTTACAGATTATGCCTTTTATAATATTTACAGATTAAGAATTTTTTGGTAATGTATATACAATTTCTCACCAACACTAGAGTGATAAGAACCATTTTTTAAATATTTATTTATTAATTTTTCCTCTGTATTTTCTATATATAACTGCACCTTTTGTTAGTATTTTTTGTATATATCTGTTTCATATCTACATGCCAGATTGATGAATTCGTTTTTTCAACTATGTTATTAACCTCAAGGGACTTCAGGTCCAGAATTAAATTAATTTTTCATTTTTATTTCATTCCATTTCCAAGCTAAAAATTAATTTGAGCAAAAAAGCTTTATGAAAAGAGATAGATTAATATATGTTGGAACATGGTCGATGAATGAAATTTATATAGAGTAATCTGAAATAGAAGGCCAAATAGAGGCCAATTATTAGAAAAAATAATTATTATTTAAATGTAAAAAATCAAAAAACAAAACACGAACATCCAATTTAAAAGGATTGATAAATACCGCAAAAGATAGATCTTGCAAATAAAATTCAAATTGTAAAACAGTGCCATCTTATTATCTTTTAAATAACAAGTTACGTAAAGCATTTTTAAAATAATTACATATTTTTAGATACTATATTTTATATTTGGCAGCTTTAAAAAATAAAATAAAATAAATGAGGTGCTGTGGCAGATCGTTTTAAATGCTGATTTTCCTACCTTAAATATTTTGCAGATGAAAGATAAAAAAAAAACTCTTCAAATATTCAATAAAAACATTAAATTTATAGTCAGATGATTAAAAGACCCTTAAAACGGAATCACACATTATTTTTATTCAATGTAAGTGAAAGAAAATAATATTAGCATAGAACATGGAACACTGTGTTCAGTAGTATCACGTGAACATTTTATTTAATATTATTATTTTATTTAATAATATCCATATTCAAATCGATTTTTGAACCGGATTTTCTTAGCAAGAAAAGACTATAAGAACATTTAAACTTTAAGACGGAAGTGTTGAAAGGCAAACCGTTAACTTGAAGAGTTTTTTTTTTTTGAAAAGGAATACTACTTTTGAAAACAAAAGGTTAGATATCTGTAAGAATAATATATAGACTGTTAAACAAAGACGTCGACTAACTTTAAGTAACAGAGATCAATCATCAACTTACAAGTCACCTTAAGACTTGTAGGATGACCAAAACGCAAAAACCAAAAACTTTAACTACTAAAAAGCGAACTCCAGCATTCGTAAAACTTTCGAAGTCAGATAAACCAGAACCTCCTAAGAAGGAAATCCGCGAGAAACCAACATTGCAACCTATCCCTATTCAAGTCACCGCATCTAATGAAACCGCGTCTCGAACCACGACTAACTCACCAAGAAATCAAGAAAAACCTTGCATAATTTCAAAGCCTCCTCCTATTCATGTGAAATCTGTCCAAAATTTTAAAACTTTATGTCAAAGCTTGGCATCTGAAGTAGGTCCTCGAGGATTTTACTGTAGTTGCAGCATGAATCAGACAACTATCTACCCGTCCACTTCAGATGACTATCGCAAAATTATAAAACTATTGCAAACACAAAACGCCCTATTTCATACATACCAACTCCAGGAAGAAAAATGTTTTCGCATTATTATAAGAAATCTCCACCCTACAACTCCAACTGAAGACATTACACTTGAACTTAATGATCAGGGATATAAAGTTAAAAATATAACCAACGCACAACATCCAAAAACGAAATTTCCTTTGCCGATATTCTTTATTGACCTGGAACAACACCCGAAAAATCAGGAGATATTCAAACTTGAATATTTGTGTTATACAAAAATAAAAATAGAAGAGCCATACATGCGAAAAGAACCACCACAATGCCAAAGATGCCAGGCCTATGGCCATACAAAAGGCTACTGTAGCCTTCCTGCCAAATGTGTCAAGTGCGCAGGACCACATCTCACAGCATTCTGCACAAAACCAAGAGAAACTCCTGCCACTTGTGCCAACTGCAATGGTGAACACCCGGCAAACTTCAAAGGATGCACTGTCTTTAAAACTTTAAAACAACTTCGAAACAAGCAATTAACCAATGATATATCCCCAGAAACCAGAGCAGATGAACAACCCTCCTCTACTCGAACCGAAAATCGTTCTGAATCCACTAATGCCAATTCATTACAACGCCAAACGAATGATGAAATTACTCCATTAGAACAAGAAATGATGAGGGATATTCCTCCATCGGAGCCATTTCGTGAACCAGCTGCCAAAGTAACAGGGAGTTATTCTTCCGTACTATCTCCTAATCCTCCTTCCTCGTCTCTTGATATCTCATTGGCTATAAAATCTTCAATAGAACCTTTTTTATCTGACCTAAAATCCCTTCTTTCACCAATTCTGGAACTTCTCACTAAATTAGTCTCTGCTCTCATCTCAAACTCTTCCAATGATTAATCCAACACAACCTTCTCTTAAAATACTCCTGTGGAACTCTAATGGTCTGCTCTTACGCAAAAACGAACTAGAAATCTGTCTAAAAGTACACAACATAAATATTGCACTAATAACAGAAACTCATTTAACTGACAAACAAACATTCAAGATACAAGGTTACGAAACTTACAGGACCGATCATCCAGACCATACGGCTCATGGAGGTACAGCAATCATTGTGCACAAATCTTTAAACCATCATATACTTCCTGCAACCCCAACTAATACCATTCAGTATACCAATATTTCTCTCAACTCACCAAAACTGCAGCTTTTGGTCTCTGCAGTATATATTGCTCCCAACAAAGTTGTCTCTACTGATGAAATGAAGAATCTTTTCTTACCAATGGGGAAACATTTCTTAGTAGGTGGAGACTTCAATGCTAAGAACTTAAAGTGGGGCTCTAGACTATCAAGCACTCGAGGTAAAAAATTACTAAAATGCATTGAGGATCTTAAACTATCTATTATTTCCCCATCACAACCTACTTACTGGCCAACTTCTCTATCAAAATCTCCCGATCTTCTCGACTTCTTTGTTACACGTTCCTTACCACTCCCACACTCCAACATTTCCTCTCTTTTCGATTTATCATCTGATCATAGCCCAATTTTACTAGAACTGTCAAAACACCCTTTCGCAAAATCTAAACCACCGACTTTAATTAATGGCTTCATAAACTGGGACGACTTTCAAAATTACTTGAACAACAAAATTATACTAAATACTTGCATCAATACAGCAGACGAACTTGACGACGCAGTCAACGACTTTACAGAATGCATACACAATGCGATCTGGCATTCGACTACACCAACGAGGTCACTAACCAAAACTGATTCTTATCTGCCTCTGGGTATACGCAATCTCATAAAAGAAAAACGCAGAACTAGAGCTCTGTGGCAAAGAAGCAGATATCCATCACACAAAACAGCTCTTAACAGACTAACCCGAAAACTTCAACAAGAACTGTCAGCATTTAAAAATAACAGTTACAAGACTACCTAAATTCAATGAACAATAGAAACGAATCAATATGGAATGGTAAGAACGAAAGCCAAATTGATGATTCGGAATAACTTCCCGACTTTCTAGGATTGGCTTCCTTCCTTCAACTTACTTTCTGATTCTTCAATCTTTCTTTCTTGACAGGTTCTTCTGTATTACTATTGATTCCTCTACTTCTCCCTTCTTTCCTCAACTTGCGGGCGTACCACAAGGTAGTGTTTTAAGCCCTCTTCTATTTTCTGTCTACACATCTGATATCCCTGAGCACCCTAGCACCATTCTCTATAGCTTTGCTGACGATACGGCAATACTTTCTTCTCACAAAAATCCCACTATCGCTTCAATATCCCTTCAAAATCACCTGCACGTCCTTGAAAAATGGTTTCACAAATGGGGAATTAACATCAATCCCAGCAAGTCAACTCATGTTAGTTTCTCCCTGAGGAAAATCTCGTGTCCTGCTGTGACAATAGACAATAAACCAGTTCCCTCAAAAACACATGTACGGTATCTCGGACTATACTTGGACAAAAAACTCACCTGGAACATTCACACTAAATTAAAAAAACAAGAACTGACCAGACGATATAAACAACTGTCACATCTTTTAGACTACAGATCTCCACTCAACTTACTAAACAAGCGACTAATCTACACCACTATACTAAGACCTATTTGGACATACGGAGCAGAACTTTGGGGTTCCGCAAAACACACACACATCAACAAAATTCAAACCGCACAATCCAAAATACTCCGTAAAATTGTCAATGCTCCTTGGTTTATTTCAAATCACACCATACACAAAGACATGAACATACCAAAAGTAAAATCCTACATACACAACAAATACACAACATTTCACACTTCTACTCTCAATCATCCAAATCCACTCGTTCTATCTCTATCTTCCTCCCTGTTACCTGGTGAGCCTCAAAGACGACTAAAAAGGCAGTGGCCTAGAGATCTATTGAAAATTTAAGAAGATATCAGGAATCAAGAAGATATAATTAACGCCAACACATTTGCTTGATGCGTTCCAACGCAGTGGCAAATTTAAAATAACAAAATAAAAAAAAAAAAAAATAAAATATTCCAGGAATAAAGGGTTTCTGCCTGATAAATTTTGAAGGAGTTTTGGTATTTTGCGTGTCCATGTTTTTGATGGTAGTGATTACGACTTGAAAATGCTAGTCTTAATGCTGAATAAAAAGTGAAAATGCTAGTTCTAGTCTTTGAAAATGCTGTATTTTTGGAACTACTAAACTTGCAGACTTTAATTAGGACTCCAATTTAAGTAAGATTACTTTTCTTTAGTGAAAGTTTTTCGTGCGTTAGGTAGTTCCACGATATTCAGCACGAAATGGGAAAAACGCAATTTTCACATGTCCCGGAAAAAAAATTGAGGTGTAAAAATATGAATATCCTGTCCATGAAAAGTCTCTTTGAACTTTTCAAGTAACTTCCTATTTTAAGTCCTACAATAGGATAGGGGTTGAAAATGGATGCTGTAATGGAACTAAGTTCATATAAAGATTTATTTTCGATTTACTAAAAAATGAATAATTCAAACTTTTCTGAGTGAACTCTGCCCTAACCCCTTAACCCATGAAAGAAAGATGGATGACAAAAGAAAGCGTGCAATGAATGGCTGTCAAACAAGATCCAGTTTGATTAATCCGACATTTGTTGATGCTCGCTAATAGATCTTAGCAAAGAGCCGTAGAGTATGTAGGCAGAGAGGTGGTTTGTGCATTATACTCTTCTGTCAAAGACAAATCTCTTCCATCCTTCAGGCATGGCCCTCGGGCACTCTCTTAGTCATCCATCTCTTGTGGGTGTTACCTCCCACCTCACGCTTCGGCGGTAATGCACACCAGCAACATCAAGGGCTCGACCGCTCAACGGGGCAACTTCATTGCCACGAATTATAAAGAAAAGTGTGACGAAATTCCCATAAGTATCTGTCACAATTCATAAATCCATAAAATGTAGCAATGTTCTAAAGGCATTCGACTTTATAAATGGGTCGCATTGTCATTCAGCAAGTCAGTCATTCATTTAGTTTCTGAGATATTTCAATATTGTCTATTCGAGGCGACTTTATCCGAATGAGCGTTACATACCCTTCCGGTTCAGTCTCATTCACTACCCACAAAAAAATTGCTAAGCACGCCTAAAGAAGTTTTCACTTAAAAAAAAAAAAGTTTATCCATACGATACCTTTGGCTTGGCTAAACTATTGACGATGTTGTTATAATCAGGTTATTATCTAAATCACCTTATGGATCCTCGTTAAATGAACCCCTAACTACTACTCACCCTCAAGTAACCTCCCCATTATATTATATTATATTAGGGGTAGGGGTAAGGGCGGTAAAAAAAATCTGTTTTTACATGTTCAACGACCGATGGCTCACTATTAGGGACAATAGGGCACTAAGACCTTTCTCACGGCTCCACGGCAATTATCGACCTTTAATTTAGATACAGATCCAGGCTTGCATTTTTTCGTCCCTCGGCGGGCAACAAGCGGTTATCTCTAACCGGTTAGTATAAACACGGTTACCGCATACGGGTAATTAAATCCATTGTTTGGTGCCGATCTCTACTTGAGGATCTATACATGAGGGCCAATCGCCGAAAAATATAAATACCACTTCGATAATGTAAATTGGGCGCTTATTTCATATAAATAAAAATGGGGGTCTTAATTTGTTTGTTTTCACTTTAAATATTTATATTTCGTTGAATCGAATGATTGGAAATATTGGGATATTGAAGGATAACGATCAAACAGCACTTTGAACAGCACCTTGTCTTTGTTTAGTTCCTTGATTTAAGAAAGGAGATATCTCATCCAGTCAATTTTTAGTTGCTCACTGATGGGTATGACAGTCGTAGACATGTCGTTTATAAATGTGTTGTGTCCATATAGTTTAATGTGAAATTGATTTACAAATATTACAAATTTGAGTATTACAAATAAAAATATAGTCAGTAAAGGTGAACATAAAAATATAATAACATGACACATAACATAACATAATAACATGAAATGTTGAGAAACTACCCACTGGTAGAACTCTAAAAATGTATTTACAATAGGAGATTTCGAGACCTTCTTCTTTTCAGATGTCTCGGAGGGTTATCAGGGATCGAAGAGGAAGCAAGGCTAGAAACGAGATGGTTTGGATGGTTCTGAAGTTTGTTATGGAAGGTGGTTATGGATGATTTTATTTGTGACAAAGTAAGGAGCAGTGGGGATTTTACGAAGGATTTTGGATTGTAAGGATTGGTTTCATATTAATTCCTCCTGGTTAGAGGAATTCGATGGGTTAGTGGAGTCCCAGAGCTCAACTCCGTAAGTCCAAATAGGTCTTATTGTAGTCATGTATATGAGTCTTTTCTGATGAACTGAAAACATAGAGCATTTGTCTAGTAAGTGCTAGATTAGTCGGAAACGTCGAGCGGTTTTTTGTTGTTTCAGTCTGGTCTGATTCATACCAGTCTGGTATATCAGATTTGTTCAATAGGGATAAGTTATTATTAAAGGATACAATAGGACAGGAGGACATAGGATTACGACGAAGAGTAAAGGTGATTTGATAGGATTTATTGGAATTTATTTTAATCCTCCAGTTTTGGCACCATTCTTCAAGTTTTGTTCCTAATGGGTTAAAGTAGGTTTGTGTATTTATTTAGTTTTGGTCTTATTTTCATTTTTGATTTAGAATACAGAGAGTACGGCATTTTCAATCGCTTGCTTTTCATTTTGATGTGTGGACACCATGTCATTCTTCTGTCGAATATTAGTCCAATGTAACGTATTGTGTTTGTCTGAGGAATTTGGTTCTCGCCGATATAAAGTTGTTTGCACCTATCTCGTCAAAGTGTAAATGATATATGTTGTGATTTGTAATGATTTAATCTCATTTTTTGAAGTAAAAATCTATTATGTAAATTTAAAAAGTTATTTTATGAATTCATTGGAGCTAGTCTGGGGTTATGGTGTTTTTTTTAATTTTGGATCGTCCGCAAAGGTAGCGGTCAATTAAGGTTGCTAGGTATATTATGTATATTTAAAACATAGAATAAAAAAGGCAGCATTGATCCTTGAGTTACTCCTGATAATACTGGTCGAATTGAGGAAATTTCTGACCCCTGTCGTACAGAGAAAACCCTGTCGAAAACGAAATACTGGAGAATGAGATGTTATGAATGAGGTAATACAGTTTTGAGCTCAGTTTGATAAATTAAATTCTAAAAGAAATTATAAATAGTTCAAAGACAAATGACGTGAAAGAAATTTAGCTACTGAATTGATTTCGAAATCCTTTTCAATTTTCTCATGTAAGCAATAACGAAGAATTCAAATATGAAGGGAAGAATAATTGGGGTGATCAGTCAAATAAGTAAAAATGATAAATATACAGTAATAAATAAATGATAATATTTATACTTATATACTTATTTGACTGATCACTCCAACTATTCTTCTCTTCGTTATTCACTACAGTCAACCATTTACCATTTACAATTAAGAATACAAATAATTTTTTATCCTTTTCCACGATGAAAATAAAGGGAAAATTCAATCTCAATGTTCGAGCTCTGCCTCTAGTTTGGATTTTACCTTTTTTTTTTTTTTTTTTTAATAGTCAATAAAATTTTGAGAGAAAAGATGTCGGGGATGAATTTATTTCTAATAATAGACGAACAGCACCCTAAAATGTTGACAATTTCAATGATATACCTGATTTTTAAGAAGTAATTAACTGGGCTGATAATAACACTATTGACCTAAAGACTTGACGGGATTTAGAACAATCTAGAAGTTAGTTTAAATTTGAAGTTGAACCTCCCGAAAATGGCTATACCAAGATTTGATATCACATGGCTCATATGCCCAGTGTATTCAGCGCCTTCAATTGTTCCAAACACTATACCGCGCAATGTACTCGCATTTCATCTTGAACTCTTGATTTCTTTTGAAAAAATATTCGCATATAGAAATGGGAAATATAATCAGATAATATTAAAATATCTCTTTTAAATGAGATATTTGGAATTTATGTTGAAAAGTTTTAGTTAAATATAAGAGCAATATGATCAAAATGAAATGTATTCTTAATTGAGGGTTGATGGTTGACTGTAGTGAATAATGAAGAGAAGGATGGTTGGGGTGATCAGTCATAATAAAAATGGCAAAAATAAATAATAATAATAATATATATATATATATATATATATATATATATATATCCATTCTCTTTCCACAAGATCTCGACCTTCCGACCTTTACATTCCTTCTCACAGACCAGCCCCGTTCCAAAACTCCTTTATTGCTCGCTCTGTTAATTTCTGGAATTCCCTTCCCATCAAAATTCGGCATTCTCCCTCCCTATCAACATTTAAAACCCTCCTATTCCAATTCCTGTCCTAAAAACAATCAGATACCCGCTAACCTTTTATGTAAAATTACATATTATTCATAATGATGTATTTACATATAACTCATCACTTAAATAATTACTATCAGATTCGACTTTCTTTTTCAACAGAAACACAGAATTTACTGCTAAGAAGAATGTAATGTATTTTTTATTTATTTTTTTCTAAAAGTTTATATTTATATTTTACCACTGTACATACTTTTAAGTGTCTTTGCATCTTTTCAAGTGTTTTGTATATAGATTTTTTTTATTCTGTATATAGTATGTTTAACTAATATTTTCTTTACTTATTTCTCTTCACACTTTTTATGTTTGTTTTTATTTAGACCAGACATAATATTTTAATTCTGTACTTTTTTCTTATTCTTAGACTTTGTCCCAGAATAAAATCATTTTCTATTCTATTCTATTCTATTCTATTCTTTTCTATATATATTTTTTTTTAATGGAGTCAATGGCTGATCTCGGTAAAAGACATTTGGAAAGTGTGTTATTATATAACACATGTATTTAGTTGTATTGTTGTGAAAAGTTAGTTTGAAATAGAAAAGTTTTGTTCTGTGATTGGAAATAAATTTTAACAGTTATGTCAATATCTCGTGTCTCTTAGTCCCAGGACAAGATGTAATCCACCAGTTAAGGATTAGCGGAAGACCTGGCGGATGGCCGATATGGCGAGGCATCAAGGAGTCGATGCGGGGAAGAAATCGATAATTGAGCATGTTGGAATGGGTTAGTAGTCGCTATTGGTGGGCGGAGGGTATACCGCTAAGTTTCCACACTACGGGACCTATAATGAGGCGTCTTCGTCGTAATGACTGAACTTTGACACGCGATTGACGCTCCAGGAATCCTAGCTATGCTAAGGAGGAGGATACCATCTTCCTATACAACACGTGCTTTACAGTTCCTTTTCGAAACACACCGATCATAACAATGGACAAATAACATTTAAAAAATATGGAAAATTAAAACCGTTCTTTCTCTTTACTTTCACTTCCATAATTTTTTTATTTAAACCCATTCATAATATTTAGGCAATACATGTTTTGTAAAACTGTGTTACTGCGTATCTTCCTACTCCTGCAATGAGACCAATTTGTATATTATAATCAGCGGTGCAGTCTTAAGATTCAATAGTTTTTTTACTTATTCTTCGGCTCCTCTTTGTCCCGATGGTCTTCCAGTAGCGGATCTTCTCCTTGTGAGGATTAAGTGTGCTCGGCATGCCGCTTCTTTCCAAACGTACACATATGCGCCAACTACAACCCCCCCCCCCTCCAACGCTGACGTCGTGGGTGATCATCCCCTCCCTCCACTATAAATCGCTATACTATGAACTTCATGAACATATCAACTCCATTACAAAGAACTGTATCCATCTTCTATCGGGTATAGTAGAATTTATTTAACGGTGTCCTATTTTGGATTCATAAACTCACCTAAAGTGTAAAAGGGATCATTTATTAAAATACTGT